TCTTTCTAAATCTAGAAAAAATTAACTCAACACCATAATTAAATTTGCTTGGTTTATCAATTAAATTATTTTACTTTATAATATTATTAAAAAATTCATGTGTCAAATAAGCAATTGAATAATTACACAGTTTTATACTAGTAAATTGGTTATATTAATTTTAGCGGCTTCGACATAACCGGGTATCCGCGGCTTCAGTAATGTTTTCGAATAGAGGGCGATCCTTGATTGGTAGTTTGTGCACACTTTTGTGTCAATATCTTTATTTTTATTTATTATTTGTTGATTATTTGCATTATCTACGTTTTAGAGAAGGCGACGAGTGAAATGCTTATAGAGACGGATTGGAGCTGTAACCTTTATATATGTGATCTTGTCAGAAGTTTGGAGCTTACGTAGTCTTTTATTTTGATCCCTTATATTATTTAAAGACCAAAAGCAGCTATGACTGTTCTTAGAAAACGTTTGTCTCACGAAAATCAGAATGTTGTTCTTCACTCTTTAAAGGTAATCCTCAAGAATAATTGAATATATCTCTTAGCTTCTCGAGACAATGATGAAAAACTGTGGCTCTCCTATGCATGAAGAAGTTGCCCAGCGTGAAAACATACGTTCTTTGACTCAACTTACCAGTGTATTGTCTATTAAATTGTTATCAATTTAGTCTACTCCTCCAGTTCGCCATAAACTCCTGGAGCTCATCCAGAATTGGGCTTTTGTTTTTAAAGGACAATCTGCTTATCAAGAAATACAAGATTTGTATGATTCTCTTAAAAGCTTAGGATTTACATTTCCTCCATTTTCTGAGAGCGATGCAATGTTTAGCACTGAATGCGCTCCTAATTGGAAAGATGGTGAGACCTGCCACCGCTGTAAAGTTTCGTTTACTGCCTTCCGTAGAAAGGTAGGGTAATTACACTTGAAATGACTCAGAATATTTGTTTTATTTAGTCTAAATATATCATAAATCTATCTTATTATTTGTTAAGCACCATTGTCGAAACTGCGGAAACGTATTTTGTGGTGATTGTACCTCTATGAAAGCAATGATACCACGATTTGGGTTTGAAAACGAAGTCAGAGTATGCGATTCCTGCCATGAGCAAATTAATCGGTACGCTTTTTAACTGAAACTTTCACTACTATAAGCAATTCTGACATGCTTTCCTGTCATTTTGGATTTTTTTAAAGATTGCAAACTCAAGGAAATAAGCCCACTTCTGAAACAAGTTCGAATCAGGTATGCTACTTTCGTGCATTTTATCTTGTGTAGTTTTTGTTATCTCGTTCTAATTTTACCTGCGAACTACTCGTCCAGAGCTCTTCTTTAAATAGTTTATCTATTATATTATGGAGTGGCTTATTGCATTTGATTCATTAATTTCATTAATATGTGTTCGACTCATTTACCGAGGTTGTGATACAGAATGTAGGCATACAACTTTTAATTTGAATTCATCTGCACATATATGGCTGATATATACATATCAAATAGCTATTATTGCTTTCATGAGCTTAGTAAA